AGAGTGGTCAGAAATGTTGCACAAAGAAGGCTGAGGAATATGATGAGCCGAACTGGAAGCCATGAGAAGTGAAAGGAATGTCTGGTCCAGAAGGGCCACAGTGTGAGCAAGCTGAAACCATTGGGGGCCTAATCCAAAGTGCTGTTTCCTTTCTTTTCTACATCCAGGGCCAGGCCTGCACCACACTAGGAAACATGGAGCGGCTTGTAGCACAGTTACTCTGGGCAGTGCGGAAGGTCCCGCCTAGACAGTAGGAGGACTCCCTTCCCCTCCCTTCTCCTGTCTTCATGCCTCAGGACCAGGCAGCTGAAGAAATAGCTCTGCAATGACATCAACACAAGGAAAGGGAGAACCTGGGGTAAGTAGGAGAAGAAGGGAAGATAAAGAAGTTTTCTCTGCTGACTGTGAGGGAGGCCACCTGGGCAGAAGGTGGAAGAGATATGCTCCCTGAGGGGGTCTCTGATGAAATGTGACTCACACTAGAACTAAAGGATCTCCCAGTCCAGGCTCTGGCCGCGGAGCGTGTAATTTATTGGCTTGCATGGGTTTCATGGAGCAATTCAGTGTTTGAGATAAGGGCTGTGAAACTCCCATCCTCCACCTTCAGGGTTTAAACTGTGGTCTCCATGAATATTACAGCTTCAGATAAATCTCCCCACACTCCTGGGGCCTCTGGGGACTGTCTGTAGATGGACGGGGAGTCTGTGATTTAAGAGTGACTCTTTTATCACCAAAGGTCAGACTGGGAGTCCATCTGACCCTCACACATGTTTTTAAAAGTTATTGAAAATTTTGATATTTAAAAATAAGGATTTAGGGCTTAAAAGAAGATGATCTGGAAACACTAGGCCTTTCTCCTTTGCAAGACACAGATCTGGAACTGGCTTCTTCTTTCTTTTCTCCCACTCTCTCCCTTCCCTCACCCACAAACCTTTATTGAGCACCTTGCTTTTGCCCCAAGTTCAAAGCTAAGGTATAGTGTAAGCACATGGCCCGTGTGCTCCCACATCTATTCTGTGCTCACGTTTTCTTTTCATTAAACTTGGCCAAAGGCCACAATAAGATCTGGGACTTGGATTAAATTCTGCATTCTCTGAGTCATGTTTTTCAAATACTGTTAGTTTGGTTGCCCATTAGCACTGTTCAATAATTTGTCTTCCAAATGGGCTGCCCTGAATTTTATTCAGAAGCTATTGTGAGATGGCTATGCCAGTTAATAAGCTGCTGTGTCTCAGCTTCAAATCAGCTCTTTTTTCTCTGCTTTGTGATGCTGGGTCAAGACTCTAGTTCTGCCTGTCAGCTGCTTCCCACACGGAGAGCATGGCAAGGTGGGGAGGACAGGGAAGCAGAGGGTCTGCTGCTTCTGCAGCTGGGCGTTCCCCAGATGGTTCCACACTCACACAGCTGCCTCTTGGTGTCCCCTGACAGTGCCATCTCCGCAGGGTTCAGTGCCTTCTTCCCAGTGGTCTGAGACCAGCGCCCTGGGCCTTTCCTTAAGTCTCTAGGTTCTGGTAACTCCAGACTCTCCCCTTGGTTGTCAGAGCCCCAGGGATGGTAGCTGCTTTCTGAAACTATGGTTTCTGAGTTACTTCGGGTCTCCTTTGTGTTTTTCCAGTTCTCCCAACACCTGTTTAATTAATTCCCTGTTACCCTGGTTCTCAAGCTTGAGCTTGCTTCAGAATCCCCTGAAAGAAGGGCTTGTTAAAGCTCAGCGTGCCGGGCTCAGCCCCCAGAGTTTCTGATTCAGTAGGTCTGGGGTGGGGCCTAGAATCTGCTTTTCTGTCAACTTCCCAGTGATGCAGAAGCTGCTGAACATTCACTCCCTCTGTTCTGTATTCTGTTTTCTAGCTGACCCGATTGACTCAGTGGCCTTCACTGAGAGAGAACACCACCCGTTTGGTTTGGCATGTTGGGTGGGGGGAAGTAGTGGCAACACCCACTTCTGACCTAGGCCTTCCCATGAGATCCAATCACTATCTAGGTCTGTCCATCCACACTCTGTACCGGTGCTCTTGCTCCTCTGCCCTGATTGCAAATCCCTTGGCTTTCCATTCCATCTCTCCCTGGCTCATGTCCCACCTTCTCTATGGGCCTGCTCTGCTAATTCCAAACCATTTGAATTCTTATTTCTCTACTCTCTACTGCGTTAACTGACCACATTAACATCTTTGGGGCTTGCTTTTTCAAGTCCGCAATACACACTGAATTGTTTATTGTGTGCAGAGCCTCACACTGGATGCTCTTGCTAGAGTTAAAAGATGAGACTTAGACTCAGCCCTCACAGGGTAATCAACACTGCACAATTGAAAATGGTATTATTTGCTTGTGAAAGATCTGGAAAATATATCAGTAGAACTCCCTGCCCCCCCCCCCCCCCAACTAGAGAGAGAACTACTTTGGTAGCGTGTATCATTTGATTATCAAGATGAGGGTGGGATAAGACCAGAAGAAGTGAACTCAAGCAATAATGGCTAGAGGCTTGAATGCCTGCTGACGAGCAGGCTTTGCTTCACAGAAAGGGAACTATGGCAAGTGTGTGGCTGGAGTGGAATTATGTGGAGGGAAGGGAGTGATGTCAAGAGAAAGAAGAAGCTTGGGGCCTGATGATAGTCACAGGACAAATCAGAGGAGAATGAAATGGAAGAGAATGGGGATTTTCAATACACTACTTGCTGATGTGTTATAATCTCACGCATCTCTCCATGAAAGCATTAGTAAAGCTACTTGCTTCCTGGGACTATGACCAAGTATTGAGTCTTTATGCAACTTTGGAGTGGGATGAAATCGGAGACATCCTATAGGAAAACGGTTACATGGAGTTATACATTTTATTTTCTTGGTTTTTTCTTCCTTGTAAATATATGCTAAGCACCCTGTGGCCCTTATGGATTTCATATTCTTTCCCATCAGTCCTGGTTACGAGTAGCACATGTTTATTGATGAATTAATTTTCAGGTTTAGAATTTATCCTTGCCCAGACACACCTCCCATTAGGCCACTCAAAGTACCAACAGGCCTGAATACAACAACTCATATGTGAGTGAAACACTCGTCCTTTGCTTTTTTTGATGATTTTTATTTATTTTTCCGATTATATGTAAATAAACGCACATTATTGAACATTTGTAAATAATAAAAAGTGTGAAAGAAAATGAAAATCACCTAAAATTTCATTGTTCAAAGGTAACTACTACCAACAGAATGGTCTCTCTATATATCTTTATCTATATATATGTATTTATGTAATGGAGGCTATATTTAGAGAGTATATATGCAATATATATTTATATATTCTCTCTATATATATAAGACAAATTAGTTCCATATTGATAAAATTTTATATACTGCTTTTTAAACTTAACTTTTTGTTATAAGCATTTATCCTTTTGATTATGTCTTATTCAAAAATATAATTTAATATCAGCATCATAATTATTCACATAGACTATCATAATATATTTATTGAAATCCCAATATTGGATAATTATATTTTTCTCCACTTTTTGCTATCATATGTAATGCTACTGTGAACATTTATGTGTGTATATATATATATATATATATATATATATATATATATATACATATATATATATATAGTAACACTGTATTTGGGTAGACCTATCTTTTGATATTAAAAAACACATTTGTCTTCAGGAGTAGAATTTTGTTCTTACCTGAAATGAAGCTCAGAAGATACAAACCTAGAGGGCCGTGCAGAGTTTCGAAGGGCTTGCCAAAAGCGTTGTACATGAAGAAGGCTGTCCCCCACCATGGTTAAGACAATCAGGATCATGGAGAAGAGAATGACATTGACGTGATGCTCACTGGGATTGCTTTGAGCAAATCTGGGAAAACTG